CAAGGCCGTATAACAGGGACAGGGGACGGCGATCCTCGCCGCTCGCCATGGGCCTAACAACCGTAGGTATCTATTGGTGTCTCGAACAAGCTGAGGTTGTTGGTGCTACATACTAATCAACTACTCTCTAACCGAACCGAGTTTTAGGAGCATGCTAACGTCACTCGACGAGAGCCACCCGTGTTTTGAGGATTATGATTTATGATCAACCGTTGTTCCATCTCCTTTTCTCGAAAACATTCACCTAAATGGAATTGTGGATGATAATCTTGTTTGTGATGTTTCTCTTCGTGTCGAAACGACCTCAAGCCATGCATTAAATAGAACGAAAATTTGCTTCCGCTTTGCACGGACAATACACTCAGCGCTCCTCTGCAGCTTTTTCCTTTTATCTACGTGTCAGTCAGTAGCGGCGGAACACCTTCAATTAAGGGGGGGGGGGCACTGCCGACTTTTGGTACCATTCTTTCCATGCAACGCCTATAGGGCTAATGTTAAAATGCCAAAATCAAGGGGGCACGGTGCGCCGGTGCCCCCCCCCCCCCCTGTTCCGCCGCCTATGGTGTCAGTGGTTTGTGATTCCAATAACTGCAGCACAATGATGTGAGTTGTGACTGTCGAAAATTGATTATTTCATGATAGGCGTACCTTGATGTCCTCAGCGCATCTCAAACTTCATTTAGCTACTGCTCAAATGTCAAAATTAGGCGTGAGTCAGCTGGACCTTCCGTCGGTGACAGCCTGAGACATTTTTTCACCCATGTTACAGATTTGTAGATGAATGGTTTGTCAGATGAAACTGAGGCGATCGATTGTGTGTGTGCCATATGTCAAAGCTCTCGGTAATCACCTCAGCAGAGAATGCATAACACCAGCCGTTTTGCATTCACCGTGCAAGAATTGAATAAGGTCCTTATGTGGCCAAGGTAGAGAGAATATTGGTCTTTTTAATACCAATGTTAAACGAACATTTCATGTGTTCCTAAACTATTAGTGTGGCTGTTGGCGCAGAAAATTGGCCTGTCTCCTTGAACAGGCTATTTTTGTTTCAGAACGGGTGCTCACTCACACCCGGAACTTTATTCATCAACTGAACGCGCGTTCCTATCTCAAAGTTGTTTGGTGTTTCGGGTAGTTGGCCATGGAAATTTATCGTATCAATTTTTTTCCAGAATGGTGTGGTCTCTTCATCTCTTGGCGTTGAAAACGGATTCTTTCGACAAAGACGTGACATTGCTTTTGTTCAAATACAGATGCAATTGCAGGCAATAGAACGATTATTTGAATTTTTCCGCGTTGTAAATGATAGCTGGTTTAATTTCAAATCATCTTACAATCGGCATGTACCACAAACGAAATCATTTTGCAGGGCCTACCTATATGTGTCCCCCGCTCACAATTTTCTCTAGATAATGCTGCCAGCGATAAGGTCACAATGCCGTCCGTGGTCACCGTTTTCGGCAGTCTGAAAGCCTGTCGCGTGATGAACCACTTTCGACTCATGAGACTTCGTTTTCATTTCCCACCCACACACACCATTTCCGTTAGAACCGGGTCCGTCTACCAAAAAACTGGCCCCTCTATATTCGCTAACCGTAAGGCTTCTGCGGTGACTGCGTTTTGGCACCAGTAGCTGTCCAGACTGCCACCCGACTGCCGACGCCCTGCTCTGCCCACTGGACTCAGCATGCGGTCCTCTCTGCTGATCTGCCTCGTGGCCGCGGTCGTCGCCGCTACCTTCACCCTCGCTACTGGGCGATACACACCACTGCAGCGAGCACCACCACCAGGCCGCCAGACGAGCGGCACCAGCGGCGGCACCACTCAGGTCCACCACTACCTGGACAAGCAGACCGGCCTGGGCGGCACCTCCATCATCTGGGTGGTGCTGATCGTGGCTGCAGTGGTTATCATCGGCCTGCTGCTGCTCCCCGGCAAACACGGCAAATACGGCGGATACGGCGGATACGGTGGATACGGGGGATACGGGGGACATGGCGGACACCACAGTTATTCACATTACAGGTGAGATAATCACTATTGAGCTCAGCGGCTCGTCAATTTTATTCTCAACAAGTGGTGAGGCCGTTGGGTGTTGGGTGGGATTTTTTCAGCAGGAATGTGGGTAAAAGGTAAAGCATCATTTGAGATGAATTGCAGCGTGTAATATTTGAAATAGCGTGAACGAACTTGTTGTTATTCGAAGAAATTGTTGTTATTCGATTAAATTGTCATTGTGCATGTGTAAAATCCGAATTAGTTCTCAACTAATCAAGCGAAAATTTATTTTCAGAGCGCTCAGATCAACGCCATTCATTTTGAATCACCTTGAAACGGCCGCAAACCTGTACCAATGAGAAGCTTTCAAGTAATTATCGTGATTTTTACCATTTCCTACCATGGAGGTGGAACGAAAACTACCATGATGAATGCTTTATTATGTCAATGTGCAGCAAGTGAACGGGGAAGATCGCAGTGATGCATGCATTAGGCCATGCATGCGTGGGCAATGCGCAAGTAAAATCCTCCCCCGTTGTTTTAATGAGGTGTCATTTCAGCTTGTTATCGTTTGTCGAATGTTCCCGTGTGGAAGCTACAAAATCTTCCAATGTAGAAGATAGTTTGACCTCATCTATGCCTCATCGGTTTTATTGCTGAATAGTTACCGCATTACTTACGTTACTGCATTGTCATTTTGTGTGATAGAAATTAGATCTTCGCTAATTTGTTCGGGTAACTAATATGGCATTGCGTCATGCCTGTGTGAAGAGTGAGATTGATCATCTTTCGTTATTAGTGCTTTTGTGAAGATCATTGTGAGAAAATTGGTTTATGATTTGTGTTAACTATGTGTTATAGTTGCATTATTTTCGTTAATACTTGAATGTTGAAGCCTAGGTAAGTGTGTTTGTTTTGCTGCCGTTATAGTTATGTTTTTAGCATAAACTTTTAAACATTAACGAGGACAATGTTAAAAACAAAAAATTGCATAGCTGGCTTATTGTGTTTCCGAGAGAAGGTGGCTATTATTTTGTTTGTTTCGTCAACTAATATGGGGGGCATACGAGATGTGTTGCCGTGCAGCCGTATGACCCTGTGTGAGTGCATTGTCGGCGTGCATGTAACAGAGTGCAAGCTGCATGCTAAAATATACCCTTTTTTATTATGTGCTTACTGAAAATTCATTCACTTTCTATAGATGATGTCTTTTACATTGTTTTTGAATGGGTTATGCCTATTGAAATGTCAGCGGTTTCCGCTATACATTGGGGCCCATATTTTTGTTTCATATATGCTTGTCCAAAGCTAGTAGGCTATTTACGGGCCCACTGCTGGTCCCAGACAGCCATCCGGCCCGTGGCGGCTCAAAAAAAGTCTTAACGAGCTGTCGTGACTCCAAGGCAGTCACGGCTGTTATGACGGCCTTGGTTATGACTATGAGTCTAGCTTCTGCTAGGATTTAAAAACAAAACGGTGAAGCCTTTGCGATGGATTTTAGGGTGCTGATCGCTGTGTTATTAAACTGTTTAGGAGATACAATTAACCCGCGCCCCGCTGCGCTATTCAGCCATACGCGCCCTGCTGGGGGGGGGGGGGGGCAGATTCTGCCCCCCTCCCTGTCTAACTTCCGAACCGATGGTCGTAGAAAGACGGGGAAAACGGCAATCGAAAGCTCTCAACAAGGCACTACTACAGAGCCCAAATTTTTTTGCTTAAGTAGGTCAGAGGTCAGGTCAAGGTCAGGTCAAGGGTACAAAATGTAAGTTTCTACAGTATCGGCCTAGCACCGTAGTTGCCGGAGAATGGGCTGAGACTGATTGCCCAAAACGTGTTCTTAGACTACCAAGACAAAATTCGTTGCATACAATGTCATTCAAAGGTCAAGGTCAAGGTCAGGTCAGGTCAGGTCAGGTCACCAAAAACAAAATATAGAAAAGGGCATGTGCGACACATGTTTTATGGGTCATTTTACTCATAGAATTTAATAGGCACACTCAATAAGTGATATGGACCACCTCTGGATGAGTTTCAGGTCGAGGTCAGGTCAAGGTCAGGTCAAGTGAGGTCAAATTTTGAAGTTGCTTGTTAAGGCCTAAAAAGGTGTCTAACTGATGCAGTTTTTCACGGCGAATCGAATGGTGCTATTTTTGTTTCCGTACGAAGTCTAGAACTTCCAAAAAAATCATTTTTCAAAATTTTTGTGTGTCGTGACGTCATAAAATTTTGAATAACTCCCACATTTTTGAACCGATTCTTCTAAAAAATTGGTATATAGGTGCACATAGACTACTTCTCTGACATATATTCTGGTTTTTTCGATACACTCAAAATTTTGGATTTTATAATAATTTTCCCAAAGAAGTCAGTTTTTTAAGAAAAAAACTTGGGCCAAAATCCAACAATTTCAAAAAACCGAGATAGCCATTTGATAGACAAAGTAGAATCACGTATAACCTTTTTTGTTACGTCTTGATTCCTTTAAAAATGAAGATGTTACCGGCGTTTGAAATTTTGCCGTTTTTTGAGGCGAAAATGGCGAACATGACGTCACAAAAACGTCAATTTCTCAAAAAAAAAAATTCCGACGGATTTCGCTCAAATTTTCAGGGAACGTGTCAAATTGATGGATGATAAGGTACTCAAAGTTTGATGTCGCTGGCGTAACGCGTTTAGAAGTTATTGGCGAAAAACGGGAGGGGGCAGATTCTGCCCCTCCCCCCCCCCCCCCAGCGGGGCGCGGGTTAAGACACAGAATATGTTAGCACGACATTAAACTACCGTAAAATGAGTAAGAATTAGATAGCCACCGCTGAAGAAATGGCTCCACCCACCTATTCAACCTATTCGACAGTCCGGCAGCTGGGGTGCTTCATGTCATGAACCCGCCCCAGCCGTCGATAAAAACTGGCAGGTACTGCCACTGGGTCACTGGACCAGCCACCGACGCAGGCACCGACGCCAGTGTCAGACACAGCGCGGCTCGGCGCAGAAGGGGCGTCATGGCGCCGGTCACTGGACGACAGATCACTGCTCTCGCAGTCACTGGGCTCGCTGTCACTGCACTGGTGTTACCGTCAGCCGTCAACGCCGCCTCGGCCGCCGTCCCTTCCCCCGCTGCTGCTCCCGCTGCTGATGCCGCCAGCCCAGCCGCCACTGCCGCCGTCCCTGCTACTGCTGCGTCCGCTGCTGATGTCACCAGCCCCGCCGCTACCGCCGTCACCCTCAGTCCGTCTGCAATCCCGGGCGCCATCGCCGACCACCTCCGACGTCTGTTCAGCCGGAGCTGGTCGCTGTTCACCCTTCCCGGCCTCAGCGTGCTGAAGGAGAACAGCAGCGCCAACACATGGCTGGCGCTGGGCAGCAACGCCATCGTCTCGGTGGTGATCATCTGTCTGGTGGCCGCCATTGTGGTGATCATCATCCTGATCTTTATCGCGCTGATCGCCGACCACCACCATCAGTACGGCTATGGGTACGGTTACTACGGCGACTACGGCGGCTACGGCCACCACGGCGGTCACGGCGGGTATGGCGGGTACGGCCACGGATACAAAAGGTGAGAAAACGACCGAATACCAGAGCTGGGTAAACGGCTAGAAAATTACTTAGTAGACAAACCATGATCAACTGTGTTACGAAGAGCATCGCAGGGTTACAGTACAATTTTCAAGGCAATTTATAGAAATGCTGTGAGAAATTTCATATCAAAAAGTTAGCAGCTACAGCTGTTCGGTTCAACTTGTTGCCGACAGAGTTGTGCTGCAAAAATGGCTACAGTTTTTTTTTGCAATGTCAAGGCCACAAGAATTTTGATCGGCATTTAAAAACATTAAAAAATGCGTAGCATTGCTAAATATAATTATCACAAGCCACACATTCAGAGATCGATCGTAGCGTAATCGTTTGTAAAAGCAAACTTTTTCCATCCAACATTTGATTCATGTTAGATGAATAGTTAGGTCCAGTACAGACTCATCTAAGACCTTAAAGCATACAGTTTTATACTGTTGCGTGTACTTCGAATATTTAAATGTAATGGAATCCATATTTGAAACATTTTGTAATAATGTCATTAAAGCATTAAAATGTTTTTTATTATTATTTAGTTATAGCATTTCTAAGCACTTTGTCCTGCTGACTGTGAGCATTAGAGCCCATGGGACATTGTACCATTTACTTACTAACTATATATGTAATGAATGTATGGTAAGGTCTATAATTCTAATAGTCTGTTTCTCAAATTTTAGTATTATCATCGTTACATTTGTGTACTTTGCTGAGCTTAGATAGTGTTCCTTACACGAAAAAGTAATTAATTTTCTTCGGCAATCTAACTATACCATTGCAGTTCCATAATTGTAGTCATGTGTTTTGTTTACAGGTCACTCAGCGCCGACCTACCAATTCTGCTCCAGCTGGAGAAGGCAGCACGCTTATACCAGACAGAGGCGGATTATGAGAGCTAAGCCACATAAAAACAATGATATTTTCAATATACGCCTACGCCGGATGTTCGTATCAGCTGTGGATGATGGGCAAAGGTATTCAATCAACTTATTGTGTCGTGCAAGTCTATGTGAGGCTTGATAGTGTAATGTGATATGTTACAGTGTGTGTAAAGTATGTATGAAAGCGATCATAAGAAGCGATTGAGTCAAGTGTTCGCGTTTATCTAGTCTTCATTTTGTGTCCTTCACGATGATTATCTATGTTTGCATCTAATGTCGATCGTTTATAAACATAATTACTGGTGTATGTTAATGCCTATGTTATGGACATAGGTATTCCTCGTTTTGCATGTATCTGTCATGAATATAATATCGCATGAACTATTTCGTGTGACAGCACATAATAAAATGGAAAGTGTTTCGATTTATGAAAAGGACATTTCTAAAACAATTAGTTGGTAGGTGCTGACCATTTTCATAAACATTGACAAGTGTCTGAAAAAGATATGCCCGACAAGGCAGCCAATGTTCAACCCGGATTATCTAATATTCAGGCCAGATTTGGAACACATCGAATCCAGTTGAAACTCGCAAGCAGCGGAGCCCTTGAAGTATGGAATACGTGGCCCAAATCATTCGGTGTTAACCCGCGCCCCAGTGGCGGTCTCCGCCAACTTCGCCCTAGTGAGGGGGGGCATATGTTACCACCCACCTCTAACTCAAAAACTAAGAGGGCTAGAAAGACGCGGTAAAAAGCAGTCGATAGCTCTCAATGCGTACGTTTGAAAGTATTTCAGTCATTTTTCATCTTAGAGCAATATTGGGGTCACCAGAGGTCATCAAAGGTCAAAATTTGCCAATGGTCATCATATTTTTCAGAAAACATGCCGTTATCTCAGGAACTATGGTAGCTAGAAAAACGCATGGAAAAGCAATCGATAGTTCTTGAACTCTTCTTTTGAAAAGGTCATTATCAAAATTGACCTCAGGTCACGGGTTTAGCCTCCAGAGGGCAAAAACTCCAAAAATAGCTGTTTTTACGAAAAGTGTTTTTTGACAATAACTTTCGACAACAAAAAGCCACGACATTTCTATTGCCAGAATCGTGCTCCTCTCGCCGAGACGCGTCGAATGAGCTATAATTTGACCTTGAAAGGTCAACTTGAAAATTTGACCTCAGGTCAAGGTCATGACCTGACCGGAAAAGTCATGTTGCATATCAGTCGATGCGTCTCGGCAAGACAAACACAATGAGACCATCCCCAGCGTTCTATCTCTTTCCAATCGCGAGTTATTGGCAAAAATCTGTTTGTAGCCTCAAAGGACCTCGGATGACCTTTCTAGAGGCTATCAGCAAAAATGACACCCTGGTCATCACGGGTGGTCCAAATCATTGTGATTCTGAAATATTTGGACTGTTCCTATGCGTACACACGGATCTAGAGGCATTTTCATTTTTCTCCATTGACTTGTAATGGAAAGGTCACGCCACTGACCTGACCTTAGGTCACGGATATACAAAATCCGAGATATACAAATTGTAGGCGCCCATAACATCATGCAATCCACCAAGTTTAAAATCTTTCTGACAAACACTGCAGGCTGGGCATGATTGCAAACTTTTTTTTAGGCTTGGTCAGTTAACTTGACCTGGTGACCTGACCTGACATGACCTGGGGTCAAAAATTTCACACATTGTCCAAAATTGATGTACCAAAAGCTACCCCAAGCGGCGCGGCGCTACGCGCCGCGGTTTTTTATTTATACGCAAAAAACGCGAAAGGGTGGTAACATATGCCCCCCCCCCCCCATTGGGGCGAAGGTTAATCCTAGCTGTCTGACCTACAAAGATCAACAAAAGCAACGACTCCGAAATTCGCACAGGCCACAGCAGATTGTGACCCACCAGCGGAGCTAGATCGCTGAAAATGTCACCTGCAGGCAACTCGATAAGCCCAGGAGCTTCTTTTCCACTATCGATGCCCCCAAGGTCAAACGATGTCCTTTGTTCATTTATGGATCAGGGAACGTTGCCACACTCAATGGGCTACTAAATGACGTGCTTTCGATCGTAGTTACCCTGATTCATATAAATTTGTCAAGAACTGCTGTGCAAAAGTGTTTTCGACCTGACGCATAAGTGATCTCAGGTCATCGCGTAACTTTGGGGTAAAATCGATAGTTGGAAAATAGCTTCAACCCCTTACGAAACGATTGGTGATATTTTTCTAGCACTCTAGCTCCGCTGATCGTGAGCCACAACAATGTGCTGTGCAAATTTGGGGGTCGTGACCTTTGCTGATCACTACAGGTCAAACCACTAGGAGTGAATGGTGTCGGCCACGACACCACAAGAACTCTGTTGAGTAGGGCCATTTTCGGGAGTTGCGGCTTAACTTATGAAACATCTATTCCACACATGAGGAAATTTCAGAACAAGATTACTCGGAGTCAGATCACCGGGCAAGGCATAAAGAAAAATTAATACTCTCCTTAGTTACACCGACTGAGCGATTGCATTGCAGCTTTCAATTCAAACATCGATTAGGGTGAAAAGTGAGTCCCTTTTCTCGAATTTTTCATCAGTGACCTAAGGTTAGGTCAATTCTGGTCTAGCCGTATAAATGACTGGGCTATGTGTAATCTAAAATGTTTGTATAACCTTTTGAATGTAACATGCCATACCCCCGACTTTCGTTACGTGACCAAGGAGCTGAGGTAAGAGCGAATGTTAACTTCCTTTCCCTCCCCCTCCCCCCCCCCCCCAGCGAGCTTGAACTTCACCGAGGAAAGTTGATGCTTACTTGGTGGATTTAGTTAAGGACATTTTAATTTGAGTTTTTACCTGTAATACTTTTACTTGTCATTCAACTCAACCTGCCCCTTTTTGCTACCTAAACGGCTCCGAATTTCCACGCATTATTTGAGGCCCGATCGACGCAGAACCTGTCTGGTCCGGCTCTAAAGAAGCGGTCGGTCCCATTACCGTGGTTTTTGTGTAACTGGGTGATCACTGAGCAGTACTGGCTGCAGTGAACACTCGGTACGTCACAGTGGTGCCCGGACGCGCGTGGGCGCCGGGCCCCCTCTGCAGCATGGTGTCCGGCGCGTGGACCGGAGGAGTGGTATGTGCCGTGATATCCAGCGTGTTCCTTCTGTCGGTATCAAATGCCGCCGCCGCCATCATCGCAGCCGGGGCAGAGCCTGCGAGCTCGGGCGTCAATACCATCGACAGTGTAACAGTGGTGTCACCGGACAGTCATACTGTGAGAGCCTTCCCGGTGAGATCAAACATCAGCACTGATGTTTATCCATCGGTTACAGTTGACGGCGGCACAAATGCTACTACAGTGCCTCCTTATGAAGCCATTGGCGCTTCTGTGGTTTTGAACAGTGACGTACCAAACGTAACTCAGACAATTTCAGAAGACGACATCCCTGACGCAGCTTCAGCGCCTTCCGGAGAACTTGGCGCTGATTTTGCCGCGGTTACCTTGAATGATAAGAGAACTGGTGCCACATCAGCGACTTCGAGTAGCGCCAGCACTGATTCAACTCAAGTGACTTCGAACAGCTTCAGCATTAGTCCTGCCTTACCGATGCGGGATAACATCAGCGCCGATGGCACTCCAGAAGCCTCGAACAAAATCACCGTTGATATCACTCCAGTTTCTACCGACAAATCCAGCACAAAGTTAACGTCACTTCATTTAGATTTAATTATCCGCGTTCGTCCGATGAGCTCCATCATCAATGAAGATGATCTTTCTATAAGTCAAGTCATTAACGCTGAACCTCCTTCTTCAAATCAAGTTTTCAACACCGATCCTGAGATTTCAACAAGTCCATCCAATGTCAGTAGTCCTATTCAGAACCCCAATATCAGCACTGCCACTCCTCTGTTGAGTTCTTCCACCGCCAGCACTGATGAGATTGATGACGATGATGGTGGACAGACTACTGCCACTCCAGGGAGCACAAAGAACCCACAGCCTGCTTCCGTCAATGCCACTGGCTTACCCGCGATTGTGGAGAAAAGTGCTGATGAGGCTACTCAAGGAAGTGCACCTATCGTCACCACCGGTGATGTGCTTGGGTCTGAGGATGCGGAGGATGCTTACAGCACGTTCAGCAGCAGCAATGTTGACGACCGCCCGCTGCTAGATAAGCTAAACCCAGTGAGACGGTACAGCAATCGAAATAAGGGCGGCAACAAGGGCGGTGGCAACAATGAAGACGATACCGACGACATGAATAGCAAGGGCAACAAGCGTGGCAAGGGTAATCGCGGTAACAAAGGCAGTAAAGGTGGCAAGGGCAATAGAGGTGAGAAGGGTAATAAGGGTGGCAAGGGAAATAAAGGAAGCAAAGGCAGCAAAGGGGGTAAGGGCAGCAAAGGTGACGGCGAAAATACAGGGGGAAAGGGACATAAAGGAAACAAGGGCATGAAGGGCGATAAAGGTGATAAGGGAGTAAAAGGCAACAAGGGAGAGAAGGGCAATAAAGGACAGAAAGGCAGCAAAGGACAGAAAGGCAGCAAAGGACAGAAAGGCAACAAAGGCATGAAGGGAAACAAAGGCTCCGGCGGTGGCTCCGGCACCTCCGGCGACTCTGAGGGCGGCGGAGCGCTGACCACCGGCGACATCCTGGCCATCAGCGGGTTCTCGCTGGCCGCGCTGCTCGGCGCGCTCTGGGCGGGCACGCTGCTCGCGCTGGCCGCCGTCATCGCCGGCCTGGTGCCCGCCGCCGCCGTGGGAGGCGGAGGAGGAGGTGGCGGCGGCGGCATCGTAGGACCTATCCCTTCCGGAGGATTCTTCGGCGGGTGAGTGAAATAGTTGTGAGCCGTAACTCATAATGTTGTAATCTCCGATCCGATATCGTCATTTTAAATGAAGAGACCATGAAGTCACATAGAAATTGTTATTGCGAACGTATAGGCTTGCGCATAGCTGCTAAAAATAAGGATTATAAACGCAATTGATCGATGGCCGCTCTGTATCGTAAGTGTCAATATCTTAATAGACTAAAAGTAAGGCTAATACATATAACGTTTGTGTAAACTCGCATAAATGGTTTTTCCTATAGCAACGCGCCTTATGTTTTGCAGGCCATCGGACCCCCAGCTGCCTATTCTGTACCAGATCCAGGCAGCTGCCAGTCAGTATCGGTAGAAGAGCTTCTACCAGTGCCAGAAGTCAAGAGGAGCAGTTTGTTAGGCTGCCTATTCTGTACCAGATCCAGGCAGCTGCCAGTCAGTATCGGTAGAAGAGCTTCTACCAGTGCTAGAAGTCAAGAGGAGCAGATTGTTCTGCTGCCTATTCTGTACCAGATCCAGGCAGCTGCCAGTCAGTATCGGTAGAAGAGCTTCTACCAGTGCTAGAAGCCAAGAGGAGCAGTTTGTTCTGCTGCATATTATCCAGGCAGCTGCCAGTCAGTATCGGTAGAAGAGCTTCTACTAGTGCCAGAAGAGAAGCGGTCTGTCTTCAGTCCAGACTACCGACCACATTTAGTAAAGCACTGACCCGAATGATGGGTCACATACCCCTAGATGACTAGACATACACCTGGGTTACTGGATGTCGGATGATGGCTAATGACCATTGACCACCCAGCGTGATTGGCTCGCGAGAGACATTCTCGGAAGTGCACTCACGCAGCTCGCGTTAATTCGTTCCATGAATGTAAAGGAGAGCAGAATGTTATGCAATATATGGAAGACATCGCCATCATAATGCTGCGCTTCAAATAATCATTGTTATGTTGTAATTATGTTTTGTTGATGCAGTTGTGTAACTTATTCATTGATGAACATTTATGTATCGTTCAGTTTAGGATTTGGAAGTTGTGTGGTTAGGTACGCTTGACCAAAATGCTCTCGTTCAAATGTGTTTCTTGTAGAATGTTGTATGCTCATGACACTGAAAACTGAAAAGCTACATTTGTGTTTTATAGAAGTTTATCGACAGTGCCATTTAGCAACGAGTCGGTATTAGTTTCGAAAAAAAAACATAGTGAGTAGTGACCATATGTTGATGTAAAATAACGACAATTTAATCATAGACGCCGACATACGCACAGATCTGAGAAATGGATTTGGGATCTCACGGATTTCTATCTCGGATTCGACGGGATCGTATGTACATACCGGGTGTCCCAGAAAAAACGTTCCCAACTTTAAATCAATATTTCTCAGAAAGTGATAAAGATACAACATTGAAACTTCCAATAGTCAATGCGGCATACATTTTCAGTAAATGGTATGATTTTTATGTTATTCGGCCAATTACTTTTTAAATGGTTCGTGTTTCTAGCATGCCATGTAAAAATTACTTTTTTGCTCAGATTTTTACTAAAAAATATGAGTGAACGGGCCACTTCCATCTCGGCACCACGGCCTGCAGCCATGACTGCTACTGGCAACTAGTCTCGTTGATGGTTCAGGCCTCAGTGTGACACATTCCCTCTAGCTTTTTTCCTTATTCGGTCGGTAACTAGTTGATCTTCTTGAAGGGAGGGCGATCAGCAGTAGCCCATGCACCGTGCCACTCCTGCTCGAAACAGGACTTGTTAAAACAAATGGCATCCATTAACACTATTTTGGCTCAGTATTTGAATATTTGGCACATAAGTGGGACAAAAATATTTAAAATAACAACACACGTTCTGGTTTCATTCACGTGTTCTATTTTTTCATTCTTTTGTCTAACATGGTACGTCTAAGCCAATCATTACTGCCGTTCAACATCGGCAAAAAAAGCAAAAACGTGTTACTTAATTCAACATAAGATTGCTGGCTTGAAAATGATGTTACAGTGTTATAATTTGGCATACCAATGCGCAAAGAAGTGACGCTACCTTGATGAAAATTTTGGCTCGTTATTTGCACTCGAATTTGAGATATGGGCCTCCAAAGTTCGGAACGTTTTTTTTGGGCCACCCGGTATATCGAGCACTTTCATGTTGTATGGATTACAGATCCGACAATGCACATGGTTTTTGCCTAGATATTCACTAAAGATTATGGATAACTCCTAAGACGGTTTTGTTGAGACAGCAATGTTGATTATGTCCTCAAGAAACGCACATACCCATGCCGTTATAGGCATCCAATACGTCCTAAGACCAATCGTTCGCCTGCGATGAAGTCCAGGCCTCAGCATAATTTGCGAGCTCGTAAAACACACAACTAACCCTCGGGGATCGGACTCAAAGGATTCGTATCCGGCTACGGTATGGCGAGCGGCAGCGATCATCCGAGTTTTTACAGACGTAAAAAGTGGTCGCAGCTCCGTTCCGATAGGAGCTGTTTTGCCACCTCTGATCCGGGTCAGTCGCAGACCGAGACTCTGTTAACCGACGCCTCCACGCTGTGGACTGTGGCTCCTAGTCCTCATAGGCTCTATACAGTGCACTGTGGCTTTTACTGGCGCACAATATTTACGGCATGATATTTTGTGTTCCTCACAAGCTCGATACTCATCATCAGATACTCGATACCTTTAATTGCAATAAGAACCTATGGAAAATGTGTTAGTTGTGCTCGAAGGCGATATACTACGATAGGAGATATCCGTCGAGAAGAGATTCGTCTCAATTATCTAACGTCATAGAACGGGTGCGCCGCGTTCTACCTATCACCGTAGAATACTATGATAGTTTAAGTTTGTGTCCATAGATGGCGTTAGTAACAAGCGCCTGCAGGTAGGCTGCACCGCAGTGCCCCTGGCGGCCGACAGGATAAAAACTGAGGAAGTGTCACCTCGATGAACGCAGCAACTCCACTACCAGTCGCACATGCGGGGTATAAAGTTATGATTTACGAGACTGACTTACGTGCACCCTTGTTGAAAACTAGTAACGGCCTGGACACGGGCGGCGGTCTATCAAAAGATTCCGGTCGCCCGCTTACCTACACGCGGCAGGACAGTAAAGTCGCTATTGTAACACCCTGGGAACGACCGGCCTTTCAATCGGGCAATTATTGGCGAAATTCTGGGGACTGTCATCCCGAGTTTTCGCACAGACATGTTGACGGTTGAAATTGAATGCATTTTCACTTTGAAAACTTCGCTATACCTAATTATACCGAATATCATGACGGCTGAGCTACGCTTATCGAACTCGAATTATGCGCAAATGGACGGAAGAGAAAGTAAGCGCCATGGGAATACACAACCCCACGAGAACTCTCAAACAGAACGTATTGTTGCCATTCTTGGAATAGCGTCTGCATTCGCTTCCTTCCTCAGTAGCTTTTGTGCTCCATTTCCAGTTCCACTTTCCCTTCCAATCACCCGAACAATCGGTCGTCACCCTACTAAAGATGGCACTGGTCACGGGCGAAAAACTGGTATGGGCACGCCCGGGCCGTTCCCCAATAGCGACACACCCCGCCCACCCAGCCGTGCTCCGACTTTGAGGCCTGCCGCACACCCTGCCATCAGGGAACAGCCTCTGTTGGCTGCCGTCCGCCCGCAATCCTGGCCTGCCAAGGCGAGACTATTCGCCTACAATATCACAAACAGCAGCGGTTCTTCAGCAGACTGACGCCCCAGGGACCAGCACAGCCCCCTGTTGGCTCCTAAGGCGGCTAGACTGCGACGCGGAGCAGTCGCGTCTGCTGGTGCTACGAGCCAGAGCCACTATTCACTAGGGCCTGGCGGCGGCGCCAACATAGCACCGGTTGTTGGCACTGTGCTATGTGCATTTCTGGTTCCGGAGGAACCCTCGCCTGATTTACTCCGATTTACGGGGGTGGGGTGGGGGCTTACTGATAATTCGTAACTTTGTAGCACGTTATTGTAAAGAGCCCACCGCTTACTTCAGAACGTCCAAAGGCGAGTTGTTTGGTGATTTTATGTCCGTAATACATTTCATGAGCAGCTCTCGATTCGATCAATGGACATCATTCGTTCACAACAGTTGAGCGCATCGCGCCTACTATAGTTCACCTACAATGATCGCACCCGGAATCCATCCCAATCTCTGGCACATCACACGTCCCACCCCGGTTTGAGCCGGCGCCCCCTCCCCTCCGCTGTTCCCAACACCAAACAGCTGCTTCACGGAGACGTGGGCGTATGTATTTGGGCGCCTGGTCTCCGCTCAGTGTCGCTACTACACGTGGTTCGGCGCGGCGCGGCCGGCGGCGGGCGGGCTGCGGGTGACGGCCGCGCGCGCCCCGCCGCGCCCAGGCTCACCGCGCACAGTCACTCTAAGCGCCGGCCTGCTCGGCCAGCATCTCGGCCTTTTCGACCACCTCCTCGATGTGGCCGACCATGTAGAAGGCGGCCTCTGGAAGGTGGTCGTACTTGCCGGCCAGGATCTGCGAGAAGCCGTCGATCGTCTGCTCCAGAGAGACGAACTTGCCGGCGAAACCTGGACGAAAGGAACCGGGGCGAGCGTCAAAAACTTGGTCCTAACACAAAGCAGATTTATAGAAATGTGTTGGGTTACCGCCTCTTCTCCAGAGATTAAGCTAATCGTAAATAATCACAGCAATTCCGGATGAAGAAAACAAACAAGGCAATAACAACTCCCTGCCAAAAGCTACGCATCCCACCCCAAAATCTGGCCCTACTCCAGTCAATCCCTCCACATCCACTCACCAGTGAACACCTCGGCAACCTGGAAGGGCTGCGACAGGAAGCGCTGGATCTTGCGCGCGCGCGACACGATCAGCTTATCCTCCTCACTGAGTTCGTCCATACCCAGGATGGCGATGATGTCCTGCAGCGACTTGTGGTCCTGCAGGATCTTCTGCACGCCACGGGCCACGCTGTAGTGGCGCTCGCCGATCACGTTCGGGTCCATGATACGCGAGATTGAGTCGAGCGGGTCGACGGCCGGGTAGATACCCAGCTCGGCGATGGCGCGCGACAGCACGGTGGTGGCGTCCAGATGGGCGAACGTGGTGGCCGGCGCCGGGTCCGTCAGATCGTCGGCCGGCACGTAGATGGCCTGTACGGAGGTGATGGAGCCCTTCTTGGTGGTAGTGATGCGCTCCTGCATGCTGCCCATGTCGGTGGCCAGGGTGGGCTGGTAGCCGACGGCGGATGGGATGCGGCCCAGCAGGGCCGACACCTCCGAGCCGGCCTGTGTGAAGCGGAAGATGTTGTCGATGAAGAGCAGCACGTCCTGTCCCTCCTGGTCGCGGAAGTACTCGGCCACGGTGAGGCCGGTCAGGGCGACACGGGCACGAGCGCCCGGCGGCTCGTTCATCTGGCCGTACACCAGCGCCACCTGTCGACAGAGGCGGGAGACAGGCGGTCAATAGCGCCATCTAGGCACAGCTGGATCAGGTTGAAAACAGTCAAGCACAAGATAACAGATTGACATGATAGCACGAACTATGATAGCACGGTTATAGATAGACCCCATCTGAAGTTCTATTGCACTGCCTACTTTATCCAATATCTCTTCATGCATTCAGCCGCATCAACACGGCTTTAAAATCCAACAAACTGTCGCATCAACGGGAATCGCCGATATCACAATCAACATCGACAAAGACTGAGTTTAGCTCTGCTCTGGCCCCACTTTCTGTACAGTCCACCCACAGAACAGGCGGCCTGTGGTAAGCTCGGGGGCGCTCCGGCTGTCTCTCTGCCGCGCGGGCCGCGCCTACCTTGGAGGTCTTGTCGGTGAGGCTGATGACGCCGCCCTCGATCATCTCGTGGTACAGATCGTTACCCTCACGGGTACGCTCGCCGACGCCGGCGAACACGGAGTAGCCGCCATGCGCCTTGGCCACGTTGTTGATCAGCTCCATGATCAGTACGGTCTTGCCGACACCGGCACCGCCGAACAGGCCTGTGGGCGCGGGCGAACCCAAGTGTCAGATGGATACAACAGTCAGAAATGATGGAACATTTGAGTCGCCATCAGCCGGCTGCCGTACAAAGGAAATAAAGCGCAAGTGCAAATCATATGTTTTTCAGGGGAGCGATTTTCCTGTTTGCTGCCATAGAATGTCACTAGGTCAAGTTACGGTCTCGAAATTTATATCATCATGCTCCTTACTATTAGGCCAAATGCACTGTGTACTTTTCCAGATGAACTGTGCATTGCATTTCCTAAGAAATCGTAAAAGGTTTTCTTCCGTTTACTTTTGACGTGAAATACATCGGCAATGCAACGCAAAAGAAACGCAAGTACAATGATGGCGAATAAATAAAGCGCAAGTACGCAAGTGCGCGAAGCAAAAACCGCAAGTACACGACTTGCGCTTTATTTACGTGGGAAAAGCGCGTCTATTATCAACTATCAATGACCGCAAATAAAGATGAAAGGAATGCCATTTTGATTTGGTTTTGATGTATACTTTATCTGATTGGCTTTCCTTCTAATTACAGCATGAGGGACGCATGTGATACAGAAACTTCAATGTGTGTCTTTACGACTAGTTGATTAGTGCTGGTCACCTTTGTGTTGTTCTCCCCCTTCCTTAAATGATGTTGTCAGTTGACACATTTACCTACCTGACTAGGTAGTTAAAATGATCAGTCATTTCAATCATTTTACGGTACCATTTTACAAGGTCTACCTAGAAGGTTTGTCTGCCTTCTTGGTTGCAAATCTTATTTTGGTGTTCAGTAAGATAGATTATGATAATCGCCTCTTCTGTTCACGGCCATAAAACAAAGAAGTCATTCACAAATCATATGGACGTCTATTGCCCAAGGTCAAGTACGAAGCAAGAGTACGCGAAACGATAAGGCTTAATAAAAGCCATCATGTGATAATCACAAGTCACCAAGGGGAGGTCGGCTATTTCATCACTGCATTTGACCTGCCTCATCGCCAACGTGCTCCCTAGCATATGCCATCTCTTCCGAAGACCCTCGTCGCGAACCTTCGGTATGAGAGGGTCTCTCAGCCAGTGAGGTCCCGTACGCCAGCGCTGCCACGGCTCTGCAGCTCTAGCCAGAAGCCGTGCTTGTGCCCCGGCATCAGTGGAAGCAGGTTGTTTACGATGGTGTCGATCTTCGTCTTGTTGATGCCACGCGGTCTGATGCGACGCACTGGCTCACACGTGGGGTCGAACGTGGCTTTCATGAGGCTGAAAGCCTTCCACTGCCGCTCAAGGTGTGACTTCTTCAAGAAGATGTCCTCACTGTGCCTGCGGACTTGCAGGCACCTCACGTCCTTTAGGTACGGACGGAGACCCTCCTTTCCTAGCAGGGCCAGTTTCTTTTGTCAGACTCCAGACTGGAACTCGAAGAAATCCTCGTGGGACATCGTGTGCGTCTTTATTCCCGTCTCCTCCACCACCTGTCGAAAGTCGTGAAAGTCGGACACTTTACATTTCCCCAGCCTTCTTTGCACCAGCTGGTGCGAGGCGTCCGCACTCATCGAGGTGTGCCCTTTCTCCAGATATTTCAGGGTCACCTTCTGGACAGCGTTGGTAGGCTGGTGCACGAAATTCATCAGCACCGACGCCAGAATCCATGACTTGTTTTGGGCTAGGCAGTTGTCGGTGAAAATGGTGATCTCTTTTTTGTCTCGATGTTCAGACAGGAAACGCCAGAATGCTGCCGCCACTTCGTCGCCATCTCTCCCTGCCGTGGCCTCGTGCCAGAGCACCGCAAGTGACTTCATCGATCGCTTTGTCCCCTTGTCTTTCAGTGTCGCAAATGTCTCATTAAACACTACGAGGCGGGGTGTGAAGAAAACGGTCTTGTGTGGAAGGATTGGGATCAAGGTCACCTTCATCATATCTGCACTGCAGACGATCTCATCTTCTGACCAGTTTCTGTCGGCCTCTCTTCTGTACTCGGATCTGGCCTGGCTTGCTCTCAGCAGGTGCTCGCTGTGCTCATGACACTCGTCACATCCGTCGACGTTGACAAAACCGTCTCGTTCTGCGGCTCCGTGTGCTGCTCTTCCATGCTGTAACTGTCGCTCGCAAGTCTCGCACTCTTCATTTCCAAGCTTTGTAAAGCTTATGTTCATCCGTTTAATTTCTTTTCGGTACCTTTCAAAGCTGATTGGCCCGTTCTTTTCCACAAAGTCTCGGTGCATGGCCGTAGCTGTGATGTCTGCCGGGAGATACAACCGGTGGGGAGCATGACTGTAGCGGTAGTGGTGTTTGCAAGGCCGGTATTCCTGTAAGTGATTTTGAATGACACTCGCATCAATCTTGTTTGCTGGCACACCGCTTCCCCGTCCGTCTTTGTCATCGCTGTCCAGTGAGTTCCTTACGGCTTGGTCGTTATTGGCTTTCAAGCCGACAGTTGCAAGGAAGTAAGGCTTGCACACTGTCACCGGCTGATCGTTGTCATCCGGCAGCGTCCAGACGAGTGTCCGGTGTTTGGCATGCCCCAGGCCCTTGAAGTTCCGCTTGCTGTTCACCTCCTTCTTCTTAACGTAGCACCGGTACCACTGGCGACGCGTTTCCCACGACATGCGGTTCACCCGGGCGTTTATTTTTTGTCGCTGAGTGTTCGATATCTTTTCGGTGCACTTCTGCCGACACTTACTAGCGCCGCATGTCACTGGCACCGGTCTTAAGGAATGTTTCGACGCAGACCTTTGGTCAGTCGAGCGCCGTTCCTCAGTGTCAGTCAAAGCTGGAGACGGCTCTGTCTCTGGCTGCTGTACATCGCTGTCGCCAGGACGGCTTGCTGTGTCTAGACCGAGCAGAGTAGCATCGGCAGCATCGCACTGCTCGCCCAGCAAGATGGCCCGTCTGATGTCTGATGACAAGTCCCCCTCGACAGGAAACGTCAGATTATCGGCGTCGATTTCCTCGAGATTGCTTAGACTGCCGTTGGAAATCGACATCAAAGGAATACTGCCGAAGCTATAATCTAGTTCTAGGAGCCGGCGGGGGCCGGAGGTCCAGCGGCGGTCCTGAGCCGGCCCGGTCCTCCGTCCCCTCCACCGAAGTCGAGGCTGGAGCCGGCGGGGGCCGGAGGTCCAGCGGCGGTCCTGAGCCGGCCCGGTCCTCCGTCCCCTCCACCGAAGTCGAGGCTGGAGCCGGCGGGGGCCGGAGGTCCAGCGGCGGTCCTGAGCCGGCCCGGTCCTCCGTCCCCTCCATAGAAGCCAAGGCTGGACCCGGCGGGCCCTGGAGGTCCAGCGGCGGCCCTGAGCCGGCCCGGTCCTCCGTTCCCTCCACTGAAGTCAAGGCTGGAGCCGGCGGGGGCCGGAGGTCCAGCGGCGGTCCTGAGCCGGCCCGGTCCTCCGTCCCCTCCACCGAAGTCGAGGCTGGAGCCGGCGGGGGCCGGAGGTCCAGCGGCGGTCCTGAGCCGGCCCGGTCCTCCGTCCCCTCCATCGAAGCCAGGGCTGGACCCGGCGGGCCCTGGAGGTCCAGCGGCGGTCCTGAGCCGGCCCGGTCCTCCGTCCCCTCCACCGAAGTCGAGGCTGGAGCCGGCGGGGGCCGGAGGTCCAGCGGCGGTCCTGAGCCGGCCCGGTCCTCCGTCCCCTCCACCGAAGTCGAGGCTGGAGCCGGCGCCGAATGAGTGCCGCCGCCGGCGACATTACCGGCATCCGTTTCCGAGAGTGTGGTCTCATCCGTCGCAACTAGTGGGTGAGAAAGGAATCGGGACAAAGGGGTGTCAATGATGTGCATCTGGGTAATGATTTACTGCGGTAAAATAGAACACATATCGAAACGATGTTATTCCGTCGAACCCTCTATTCCAATGCACTGTAATGTATTATAGAATTTCATTACGAAATAGGAAAGGGGAAAATAAAATTTGTGATATGCTGTAGGCACCAGGCAATCATATTTGAGCCAGTATAGCTGTGTGAAGAAGTTCTATAATTTTAAATGCTATTAAACATTGATTTTTTCAAGTAGTCTTAGACTGTAGACAGTAGTGCCACCACGCTTTTGATTCTCGAGGGGGAGGTGATTGTAGATTACATTAGAAACGTCTTTTGTACTCGTGACGCGTATCGCTGTTCAGTCTGTCTCAAAATGGGCATTATAATAGCAGGGACAGCTTCTTGCTTGACTGGTATTATCAAACAATCAAGTCGTTACAGCCTACAGGTAACATTGGGGGAAAATCTAGCAATGGCTGTTTGCACTTACCTGACACCAAAGAAGAGGCGGCCATGTATCGCGCGCTGCAAGCGAGCCTTCCTTTCCACAGTCTCCCCTTACTGTGTCGCATTTGCACTTGGGCTCCCGGTACAAGTGGCGTAGAGTCACATTTTAATGTACTGACAGGCACGTAATGGCTGTCGCCTTGGCTTGTGTCGTCCCACTGTACACGAACATGAAGGCGCCCTCGTACCGTTCGGCAGTCCAAATTGTCGATTGTCTTCCGCTTACGCACCATTTTCTCTTCGGAACAGAAAATTAACTATACCATGACTATCTACAGACACTCCGGACACTTTTTTATCCTCACGTTAGGTAGTTATCTACGCACACGCACAGTCTTTTTGAAGCCGCCTCACTACAAAATTAAATCACGCCGCCTTTAAAGTTGCCGCCGGCGCCGCGGCGCACGCGCTTGTATTTGGCACTTCCTTTCCGAAGATCCCCTTAAATAAACCGCAAGTTGTCTTTATAAACGGTAACCCCACGGAAAAAAAGCGCAAGTACGTACAAGCGCGCTTTACTTCATCGCATTTCAAACCGGATTCTCAACGGCAAAAAACCGCATGTGTGCACTTACGCTTTTTATCTTTTGAATTAAATGCCAGGAGACTGGATTTGCGCTTTTTTAATAGACTTCACGGTACTTACGTTCTTTTTGCCTTGCAGCATTGACTGGTTTCGCACTTGTGCTTTTTGGAAAATTTAAAAAATAAATATTTTGGTCCTATCGTTAGATATAGGACCACGCCGTTCAAAACATAGGTGGACACCGTTCCGACTCATATGACAGTGAAAAAATCTGGAAATGGCAAAAAATGCACTTGCGCTCTATTTCCTTTGTACGGCAGAGCGGTAACAGCATTGCCAAGCTGCACCATTGTCGCATCCACGGGAACTGCGGACATCACGGTAAACGCCAGCAGAGACTGAGTTTAGCATTGTTATAGCCTCACTTTCTGTACAGACCATCTAAATCACAACAGTCTGTGGTAAGCTTGGAGGCAATATAAGCCGAAGTTTTCGTGAAGCAGCAGTGCTATGTCTCGGAAGACCGTGACTTCAGCACTGCTGTCAGACGAGCCCAGACAGCTCAGAAATAGCACATCGTTGACATTCCGCGGCTTCGATCTACATTTCACAGTCTAGGCATCAATAACTCACGTTTGAAAAGATTTAAGAGCACTGAGAAGGGCTACTTGGAAAATAGCTACGAAAATAATTGCCGACTGAGCATCCAACTTACATACAAGCATCCAACCCCAAGAAGCAACGAGCGAGATGCCTGATCACATCCTACAAAAACTCTTCACTCGCCACCAGACGCGTGCGTCCACGTACCGATCTTGCCTCCCTTGGCGTAGGGGGCCAGCAGGTCGACCACCTTGATGCCGGTGACGAGGATCTCCTGCGAGACGCTCATGTCGACAAAGTCGGGCGCCTCGGCGTGGATGGCGGCCCGCTTGTCCGTCGGCACCGGGCCCCGCTCGTCGATTGGCTCACCTGCCCAGGTCACGGTCACGGTCACGGTCACGGTCACGGTCACGGTCAGGTCACGGTCAGGTCAGAGGAGAATGACTTAGGTATGGCCCGAACATATCAGATTCCAGTTCGAAGAGGTAAAGTGTGTTATCGTATATGGAACCAGCTCAGCTATACCAAGCTTTGCTCAAGAAACCCAAACGTGAAGTCATGTATAACAGAAAACTACCTATATAAAATACAGTTTACCGTTTATCTTTACAGTTTATTATCTTATCTTACAGTTACAAAATACAGTTTATCTTTATCATAAAAAATGCATAGGGACAGCAGGGCTTCAGTTCCTTCGACAATTCTTAAACACAAACCTGATAGCCCAGCATACTACACAAGCCTCTACTCATCTATTCCATCTTATGTCCAGTTCCACCACCCCTGATCTCCCAGTCCCGCCTCCAGCTGATCCCGTTCCGTACCGATGACGTTGATGATGCGGCCGAGCGTCTCGGGGCCGACGGGGATCTTGATGGGCGAGTTGGTGTCGGTAACCTTCTGGCCACGCACCAGACCCTCTGTGCCGTCCATGGCGATGGTGCGCACCGTGTTCTCACCTGGGGTGCGGCACCGGCGACAGTCAGCGGAAGGGGGACACGAAGATGCAAAAACAACGGGGATACTTGTGCTTATGGGAGAAAAACTATTAACAGATCAACAGGGTGAGTTACTATCAGTTTAACCTTACAGAAAGATATTCACAAATTAAAAGCGAATGAAAATCAAGCTGCACATTGTCGCATCCACGGGATGTCGCATCCACGGGATGTCGCATCCACATTGTCGCATCCACGGGAACTGCAGACATCACGGTAAACGTCAGCAGAGACTGAGTTTAGCATTGATATAGCCTCACTTTCTATACAGACCATCTAAATGACAACGGCCTGTGGTAAGCTTGGAGGCAGCAGATAAACATTAAAATGTCCATGCGTATATCCAATAGCTATCTAAGATCTGTATTGAAGCTTCGATGTTACACCAGCTTGGTGATACACCACATTGAGACCTAAAACTTAGATAGAAATCATCAGCTCAAACTTTCCCAGCAGCCATCACCTAAAACTAGCCTACTCAAAGCAGTCATTTCCAAAGTCAGTCAGCCTGTAGATCTGACACCTCACAGACAAGACTCCGCGCCCCGTGCCCTTACCGAGATGCTGTGCCACCTCGAGGATGAGGCGCGGCTCGCGGTTCTTCACCTCCAGGGCGTTGAGGATGGGCGGCAGCTCGCCGTCGAACTGCACATCCACCACGGCACCAATGACGGCCGTGATCTGGCCGGTCGAGCTGGCGGCGGCGGCGGGCGCGGCGGCCGCCGGAGCATTGTCGGTGCGACCTGGTGGCGTGAGGGGAGGGAGTGAAGGGTCTGTGCTGGTGGCTGATGGGGGAGCTAGGCGATCTGTCTTGGTAACAGAGCAGAGGATGGCGCTAGGGTGTGCAATGTTAATGGAGGAGATGGTGTTTCAAGATATGTAAAGAATCCGATTAGGGATAGAAAGGGTGGGGGAGCTGCTTTAGTGGCATGGTGATGAGGGAGCTGAGGTTAGGGTGTCTTCCTTGGCGGTAAAGGGGGAGGGAGTTGGGGGGTCTTTCCTGGTGATAAAGGGAGGGAGTTGGAGGACCTTCCCCGCTGGCAGGGTAGGACAAGAGGGAGCTGTCCCACCCTGGCAGCTGAGGAGAATAAGGGGTCTGCCTTGGTGACTGAGGGAGCAAACTTGGTGGCTCAACCTGGCACCTGAGGAGGAGTTAGAGCATTGGCCCTAGTGACTGGGGGTGGGCTGGGGGAGTTAGGGGATTTGCCCTGGCAGCGAGGGGAGTTATGGGTCTGCCCTGGTGACTGAAGGGGAACTAGGGACCCCCCTGGCAGCTGAGGAGCCAGGGGCCTGCCTAATTGGCTGAGGGGAGTTAGAGGGTTTGCTTTGGCAGCTGAGGGGAGGGGTCAAACTTTAGGCCCTGGTGACCAAGGGAAAGAGCTAGGAAGCTCATCCTGACAGCTGAGTGTAAACTACAGCTTCATCCCTAGCAAATGAGGGAGGCTGATGAAGTTGGGGTCTTCCCTTGCGACTAAACTGAGGGGTGCTAGGAGCCCTTGTGGCTGAGGGTGTGGGGACTGGGGGACGCTGGTGGGGGGTGGCACAGTTTAAACAGTTGCATGCAAAATGGGAGAGTTGGGTGGAGTTGGAACAACCAAATAAATACAGGAACTCTGGCAACCAGTCAGGAACTGGTGCAACATACATGAGCAATACAAATGAGCTAAATGAACAGAAATGACTAGGCAGGCTGGGCAAAAAAAAATCTGCAATCATAGATGGATCACATTATCATAGACACTACATGCTGATATAATTGAGGGTGAGTAACTTGTTAAAATGTATAAGATGAATCCCATGTGAGGCATTGTAAAAACAAGTAGGTATTAGAGATACAAATCAACAATAGTAGGTAGGTAACAATGATTCCTAGCATTCCTCTTCATATAATTCCTGGAAAGGTACCTAGCATCTATAACCTAACACTGTTAGAAAACTGGCATTTCCTTAGACATAAATTCCCAGTTATGTCTAAATATAAGAAATGAGCATCATGAGATCCTAGCTTAGCTCATCCTATCTCATCTCAGCAGCAAGAACAGTAATTAAAGTGAGATGCATATTTCCACAACTTACCACCAACTCTTATCTCCTTAGGCCTGGTCTGATGAGATTATCTACAGTGGGCTGAAATCCAATCAGGCAGCATTTCTCTAACATAGACTGAAATATTGCTAGAGCTGAAATGGCTTGATTTCAGACCAATATGCTCATGAACATAAAATCTCAAAATGCAGAGAGAAAACTAACTAATGCATTCACTGAATTTTAATTAGGTAGGTAGGTACTCAAAATGCATAAGAATGTAACTGCTGCAAAGCTAATAGCCTCTTGTCATGATTCAATTTTCCTTGCTTCTTCTTTCTATTACATTAAGTGTTCCAAGAAGGACAGAGAAAAAACAGGTTGAGGTAGGAACTATATTTTTCATCAGCATGATGTTTAATTTTTTCTTGGTATCACTGTTAACAGGTACCATGATGGAGCTTATCAAATAACTAGGGGCAAGGGTTCAGGATCTATTTTGAGAAGTGAATCATAGGCAACCTATCAATGAATATTAGCATTAAATACCTATCTCAATATATCTAAAACACTAAAATAGGAAGCATAATACAAATAAAGTTTTTTTTTTAAATGCTTAAAAAGTATCTTATTATATGTCATGTAAAGACAATCATCTAGTACACTTAATATAAATTACTTGGCTGGGCCTGGGCCCTGTTCAAGTGTCTGCGGCCGCCGCGGCTCCCGCGGTCAAAAAGGCGGAGCTTAGCTGGCGGCCAATCAGGCGAGAGCAGCATTCTGGGTAATGCGTAGCTCTTCCTGCGGCTCCCGCGGTCGCTCGGGAGCGACCGCAGGGAAACTTCGACATAAACTGCGCGCGTGAGACAAAACATTGTGGATTTCGCTCTTTGTTTCGGTTGATTTTATCATGTTGTTAAGGAATACTTGCTTCAAAAAGGTAGTAATTGAAGTAATAAAGCCATTATAAAGCCATTACACACAAAATTTTGATCAGCATCTCCTTTCAAAACAACCGTGCCATTCTCGTCGCCGGCCGCAGCGGCCGCAGCCGCGAGGGTGTTCAACCTAACCGAAATTAGGCTCCGCCTCCCGGCCGCGGGAGCCGCGGCGGCCGCAGAGCACTTGAACAGGGCTCTGACTTGTCAGTGGGTACCTAATGAAAACAATCGGAACACGAAGCACACCAAAAGCCAATGATTACGCAGAGTTTCTGTTCTCAACAAAAGCTCATATTTAACCTCATAAAAGTACATTTATTTACCACAGGTCAATGGCATTAAATTACTAAAATTCCAGCACTACCAGTTTTAATAGTATGCAAGTCTAAGGGCTTAGAACTGAGCATAAAAATTGAGCCATGTCAACTGCAGAATGACTATCACGCCAGCAAGTAGCAACATAAGACAATGAATACAATAGAAGCTGCATCACCATTTCAAATGAACCAAAAACCCATACATTGTGGAGAAATCACTGATGAATACACCGGCGGCGGCGTGGGCCGGCGGGCAGGAACAGACGCCAGCAAACAAGTCGAAAAAAGTCAATTACACGCAAATAAAACTCACCAGAGTGGTACAGAGCAGGCAGGACCTGCTTCTGGATGGCCGAGGCGGGCTTGGCCGCCCTGATGGCCGAGTTGCAGACCCGACCCAACATTTTGAAGGATGACCGGCCGCAGGGAGACCACCACGGAAAGTAACGCGGCCGAGTGAGACCGCTTCACGATGGCGCCGGCCGGACCTGAGGCTCCCCGAAAAAGAGAAAAAGCATCCAGCTGGCTCATGATTTCCTGGTGAGTGAAAAACGAACTACACCTTTCAGAGCAGACGGCAGATGTCGCGAGCTGGTCCGCCGACGCAGCTCGCCAAGGCCAGCCCACATCACGTCATCGACGAATACCCGTCCGCCAAACAGGTTCTTGGCTCGTGCTTGCGTCACTGCCTCCATATATGGGGTGAGTGCCCGGCGCGAGTGTCGCTCCGCGGAACGGGCGCCGGCGGCTCGCTCAGTGAATGGGAGGTCCGTGGCGGGGTCGGTGTCGCGCCGCGAAACGGAGAGCCGGCGTGATACGGCCGAAGTGACCCATGTGATTTGGATTTTCACAGCAGGTACGTTGTCCGCCATTGCTGCGGTGTTCGAGGCAGCTGTGTCCGTGTGCTGTGCCTGTCGGCTGCTGCCCGGCATCGAACACCTGCGGGCGGCGAGTGGGCGGGCCTGGGCTCCGAGCTTAGCTGGGGCCGCCCCGCCCAGCTGATTGACTTGTGACCTGATGATCGACCCCCGTAGACACTAGTTGCGATTAACTTACCGTTCAGCTTGAGATGCGCCTATGGCTGAAAACGGCTAGTGATCGCTCTCAAACTATGTAGGAGTCCTCAGTCCACCTAACAATTAACATCTTGAAGTGCCCCGTATTTCATCGGGCCCACCGACTGCGCTGAAACGGGCGGGCCTGAGGGTCTCACAATCAGGGCCCACGATCTTATCTCGTCTGAGGGCACTTGCCGGTTTTCGAACATAAATCTGCCCATGGTGCAGTTCAAGGGAGTTGCTCCGGTGTGAAAGAGTTCGGGAGCTCAGGCCGGTTCCCGAAGGGCCCGCACCGGTCTGAGAAGCCCATGGTGGAGCAGCGGGTGGCTATACGCTGAGCCGGCTTACTCGTCTCAGAAGCCTTCATTGGAATGATATTATTTTATTTGTTTAGACACTCAGTGGGTCACAAGTCACAACACCGACGGACACAGGGAAATCGTGGTCAAAGGGCCACAGGTACACATCTATGGTCACGTCCATTGTGAGGCCATATTGCATATCTTTCGATTCGGCAGGTCTTCCTTTATATGTGCATTTGTGGCTGCCGTTCTATCAGCTTTCTGCACTCACCGGGTCCGGGGAGGCTGACTCAAAGCTAGGACGAGTTAGAGCCTCGGCCCTCGAGGGAAAAACGAGCGTAAGCGCCGGAACGAGACGCAACGACTGGTAGGTACCCGTTTTTAAGGTCCCATGTCAACCGCTGGTCTCTGAGTCAAGTGCACCAAGGTAGGGGCTAGGTTTTCTTGTGAATAAATTCTCCAAGAACGCGAGGCGTGATTACGGTTGTTAAAGGGACTATCCCACCTTCTAAAATGTTGTTAAAACCAGTTAAATTGTGCCCGACTTTATAGATTGGATGACCAGGAACACGGTTCTGGCATTTATTTTTCATTAAACATCTTAGGCTTCCCATATTCCAAACACAAACTTTCAAATATGTGACGTCACAGCCCAAAATTACCTCCTTCCCCAGGCCACATTACTGTCATAAAGCTGATTCTTTTTACTCTGTAGGCACCACAACAAAGTTCAGACCAAGTAAGCGATTTTTCAACGAACAAACCCATTTAAATCAGAATGACTAAGCGAGGTGACGTCACACTAACGGTCGCTCCATGTTGAAGATAGGGCCTTGTACAAGGCCCATTTTCAAATGAAGGGAACGAATTTCTTCAACACCAAGAGGCCGCGGGGGTTGCAACCTAGATAGATAGTGGTTTCGGAATCTCGCCGCAAACTTGGCTATCTCAACTCAAAAACCCCATGTTAAAGGTGGGATAGTCCCTTTAAAGCGGATAATGCCCTCCCGCTATAAGCTATGTATAATATATAGGTACCAACGCTTATCCACCAGAAGAGAGTGAGAGGGATGATACTTTCATGATTGCTAGATGCATAGTTTGCATGTAAATGTGGCCTTCGCGTCCCAAAAGGCACCACTCAATGTCACGCGCACCCTGTGGCTGCCTTTGTGGACGGTCCAACCGATTGTTACTTGTTAGTGCCCTGCATACCAGCCATGTTCGTGTCAAACTTTGAAGTAATCCGATGTTCGTTATGCTCAAATGATTCAACTTCTGCCGGAAAAGGTCTGGGCTCGCTTAGACCGACCGTCTGCAGGTGGCCGCTTACAATTTTCATTTGTTCGCACCAAAGGGAAGGATCAATCATTCTTACTGTGAAAATTATCGTATTGGATGCAATCACAAGGCGTGACGGCCGCTAAAAACGCGAAGTTGTTATAGACAGCGCCTGTTTAGTGTTTACTGTTAACTATGCTGATACCTACCATTTTAGGCCACCTGATTGCTGTAGATATAGAACATGGTCCTGGAAACCATGGTGCTGTGATCTCGTTATCTCAACCCTCCCCTTCCTTTCCCTCCCCAGTCCCCCCTCCCCCCCCCCTTCCTTATCACCGCACTCAGCCAGTAGGTATATCACCGCACTCAGCCTGCCCGGCGGTACAGCCTATATTCAGGCGCTCACTACTAGCGACATCTAGGGGTAAAGTTTGCTAGTGCTCTGCGGTACAGTATAAGTGCAGACGTTGTCGCTGTCGCCATCTAGAGGCTGCGATTGCTACTGATCTGTGGGTGGTGCAGACTGCAGAAAGTGTGATGGTGTGATGGTTCGGGACTACGCCCTGAAGCTACGGAAAATGTGTAGTACGGGGCTTTTTATTTTAATGCGCAGTGATGTAGCATCAAGTAAAAGATTGTGGGTTAACAACAGGCTAGCTGTCGCAATGATTAACGGAAACCCGTCGTCTTTTTTGTCATACCTTGGGGTTAGGGCCTAGTTTATAAAAGTAAACATTAAAGGGACCCTCCCACTTTCAAAAAAGTTAATGAATTGGCATGAAAGTGATGTCGCTCGGTTCAGTAAGAGCGAAAACGAATATCTACCAAATTTCATCGAAAAATATTCACCGGTTTTCAAGATATTAAACTTTTACTTGTGTTTACTTTTTGGGATCTCCGCTGTTCCTAGCGACTTATCATATTTGAAAGTACGGCACTTGTTGCGCGCAAAGCGGCATATACCACCGCGTGCTACCAAGCGTTTTAGTAAAATATTTAAAATCGTTAGATCTGCGCTGACGTCACAAATTCTAAGGGGGCATTCCAAAGCATTAGCCCCTTACAATCGGAAAACTGCAAGGTTGAAATTCCGTATCTCCGAATTAAAGCATTTTTCGATGTTGTGAGTGCCCAAACCGGTAATTTCAGGTTATGGCCACCAATTTGGCTATCTCAACCCAAAACTAATGTTAAGGTGGGATGGTCACTTTAAATGTTGCTCCTAGTCAATATGAGAAAGCGCTTGTTTGAGGCTCATGAAAATTACTTTACTGATTAAAGAAATCTGGAGTCTCATAATAACAATTATATCACGCGCACCGACGGGGGGCGGATATCCCCCCCCCCTGAGGTTTTTCGTAGATATTCCAAATTCGGCACGACTATTCTCTCATCAATTTTACACATGGTGTGCAAGGTCATCCGCCCCCCCCCCCCCCCCTGTCGGTACTAAGTTGGCGCAGACCCCCGTCGGTGCACGGGATATTCTAAAGTATTAGCGGAAATAAAAGGGATATTTATTTTATTTTCGATCATAGGTACTTTAGAATAGGTACCCCTATATTTTCATTTTGAGGCTTCGGTTTTCGTTCATCAATCGGTATATTGATTAAAGGTTATTCGTAAATGTTGATTACGATACGCTGACGAAGCTTTGTAATACAATTCGAAAGCTCCGACCCGAACGATTTCTTGTGGAGTAAAGTCCTCATTTAATTATTACATTAGCAAACTCCACATCATGTCCTTTAGTGAAGAGTGATCATGCTTAGGGTCAGCCTGGACGATGGGGTCGGTGACGGTCCCGGTCTGTCGGCCACTGCTAGTTTTGCTGTGGCCAGCACGGAGGCAGCGTTGCCCCTGGCCCCCTGGCCACAGCGATTGAAACCCTTTGTGCCAGCCAGACTGTTTCCCGTTTGTCTCCGGGGCGGCACGTCAGCCGACGGCCAAGCTCCTTCATGAGACCTGTGGCCGCCGGACCCAGGAGTCAGGACACCAGAAGTCTCAACCGCAGAGGGAATGAAAACATATCTCTCACGGAGGGCGGCATAGCGGAAGCGGGTGCGCTTGCGTTCTTCCGCACAGCGGGCGGCGCTGCCAGGGCTCAAGCTATTGCAAGTATACTTAATAGTAGCATACTGAATTGAAGCAGCTTCTGGCGCAGCCGCCGCCTTCTGCTTTTCACGCTCAAAAGATTAACAGGAATGTGGCTTTGAATAGCTTTGACTTCGACAAAATTTGTACTGTAAAGGTCGAAAAATGTAAAATTTCCCTCTTAACAGGCGTCCAGCAAAACTGTGAGCCATGCAATGCTTACTCCGACTCCGAGAAGAACTGTGGACTCCCACCGACTTCGGCCGACTCCGACTCCGATTCCGCATACTGTTATGAGTAATTATCACAATATCCGCCAGCGTTGTGTCCGCCACTGCAAGATCTTGCAGTGGCGGAAAAACTGACTATTGATATCGGTCGAATTTAAAATAATTCTGGCTCGATATAGCCCTTGCATGTAACTTGTAAGTCTATGCTACGTGGGTATGTGGCCTAAATCCGGTGATAATAACTTTTGCTGGTGCCCCCTAACATAAATTACCTTCATCAGCCTCCGCCATTTAGTGCTAATTTTTTATATAAATTTAGTCCGAATGGTTGAATGGTTGAATTTGAGGAATCAGAGCCCGCACTAAGCATAGCTTGTTGTGCTGACCCTGACCCCACCACCCGATCGCGCAATTCCAGTTGTATGGCAGAATTTAATCCGAACGTTTAACGTGCCCTCACGACTGGACACGGCCCCCTCCGCTCACTCACGTTACCTGGCCTCTGTGCGGCCCCTGCCACAGACACGCACGCCATTACACGTAGGAGCTAAATGTGGCCGCCCGCACCGGGGCTTGAACCGGGCTCTCACTACCGGCTAAGCGTCGAATTCCGGCGCTTTGATGAAACTGAGGAAAAATTGAGGAAGTTGACGATCAGAATGCTGTAGTTAGTTATGACATATTACAAATGCCATAGATAACAATAGAACAATTCTACTGTTATCTATACAAAACCACTTGCTCAATTGAAATGAAACCATAAAGGGCAATGGCATTTCGATGCTATGTATCGATAAATGCACACGTCATTTAATTCATACAACAGCCGACCATTTATAACTATCGATAATGCGTGTATTCCATCATCGATATTGACCCTCAAGTGGCCAAATCGGCACTAAGACTACATGGATCAACTAAGGAGCCAGCTCGTCATATGTATTTCAAAATAGTTTGGCGATGATAAGCTTCTTAGAAAGCAATTGACGACCTTGCACACGTGCGTTGATTGCTTAACACTCAGAAGTGGTTTAATTTAACATTACGTTATCTAATGAAATGAGTTATGTTTTTTCATCGTCGTCTTAGTTTTGCATTCTTACAGCTTGCAATCTTCACTTTTTGCGTCTTCTATTCCTTGATTTTTATAATTGCCTTTGACGAAGCACGTGGTCTTGAACTTGTCTCCGGTGTGACCGTGGTTACCGACAAATGGAACTCGAACGGGGCTTGACCTTCTTGTGGGAGCTTGTTATGGCCCGTGTGTCCCTGGCGTCAGGCCCTCCCCCTTCATTGCCCTGGATAACATTGTCGTTAAATAAACCGTGATTGTGAGCTGTAGCTACCGTAAGCTCACAGGGAATTATAACGTTATTTCACTGAATGGTTCCCCGACACTGCTGTTTGGGCGACCGCTCCACCTACCGTTCTCCGACACTGCTCTCTCCTGTTGCAGGAGTCCACTGTAGCCAGCGGCACCGCCTCCACGCTCCGCCACCATGGGGAAGGACTACTACAAAACGCTGGGCATCGCCCGCAACGCCACAGACGAGGAGATCCGCAAGGCCTATCGCAAGATGGCGCTCAAACACCATCCGGACAAGAACAAGGCACCCGGCGCAGAGGAGAAGTTCAAGGACATCGCCGAGGCGTACGAAGTGCTCAGCGACAAGAAAAAGAAGGACGTTTACGATAGGTACGGCGAGGAGGGCCTCAAGGGTAACATGGGTGGTGGCGGCGGCGGCGGCGGCGGAGGCGCGCCCAACTTCACATACACGTTCCATGGAGACCCGCGCGCCACATTCGCACAGTTTTTCGGGACCAACAACCCTTTCGAGTCGTTCTTTTCGTCCGGTATGGGCCCAGGCGGTGGTCTGGGCGGTCGGGTGTTCTTTGACGAGGAGATGGAGGACGGTGGACTGCCGCACTTCGGCATGGGCTCGCGGCCGGGTGCCTTCCGCTCGCAGTCGTTCAACACGGGCCCGTCGAAGCCGCGTACCAAGCAGCAGGACCCGGCCGTCGAGCACGACCTGTATGTCACACTGGACGACATCGCGCGCGGCTGCACAAAGAAGATGAAAATCTCTCGCAAGGTGATGAACCCAGACGGAGTGACGTCGCGTCGCGAAGACAAGGTGCTCACCATCAACGTCAAGCCCGGATGGAAGGCCGGCACTCGGATCACCTTCCAGCGGGAGGGCGACCAGGGGCAGGGCAAGATCCCGGCAGACATCGTCTTCATCATCCGCGACAAGCCCCACCCGCTGTTCAAGCGCGAGGGCAGTGACATCCGCTACACGTGCAAGATTAGCTTGCGGGAAGCGCTGTGTGGCACGGTGGTCGAAATTCCCGTGCTGCAGGGCGAGGGCATCCCGCTCGACCTGACGCGCGAAATCGTCAAACCCAAGACGACAAAGCGCCTGCAGGGCCGCGGTCTGCCTCACCCGAAGGAGCCGAGCCGGCGGGGCGACCTGATCGTCACGTTCGACATCAAATTCCCCGAGGTACTGTCGACCAGCGCCAAGGAGATCCTGAGCAGCGTGCTATGACTGGCCGACGCCTACGTGTGGCGTCCGTACGTAGCGCTCATCAGCGGCGCCCTCTTCCCCGAGGAGCGCGGACTCGAGGAGTGGGAGGACGAGGACGAGGACGAGCAGGAGGACGCGCCGGGGGAGGAGCCTCTGCAGGAGGCCGGCTGGCCGTGGTGACGCCGCCCCCGAGCGGACCGTCCGCGCGCCGGCCGCCGGCGCCGGCCCGCGGCCCGCGCGGCGCGTTGTAGTGCCTCGTTTCACGTTCATTGGGCGGCCGGTGGCCCCGGTCGGTTGCGAATCAACTCCTCACCGTCACCAATAGCCGCGCGCCCCTGCCGCGGGAGGGAGCGCGCCCGGGCCGCGCGCACCGCGCCCGCCCGCCCGCCGCGGATCGCAGACAGTGACAATAATTGACTCTACTTGTTATGTGCTCGTATTGCGTAGATATTTAACTCGTGACAGGTTGTTGGCTTGTGCAGGCTTGATCCGTTGTGACGTGACTGGGTAAGTGATGACCTACCATAAACGCTTCGTTTGTGCCTCAGACGACGGTATCTAACTCGGGCAAATGATCTGCGAAGGCTGTGTGACTTACGTTTAAAATATATTCGGTATATCGCCTCTGGGTGTGTGCGGCCGACCGCCGACCGTCGCGGAGCTCAGCTTTGAGAGGGATTGGGGCGGCGCGGCGGCCGACTCCGCCGTTTGGAGGCCACCTCGGGGCAGCACCATATATGGTCGGCGCGGGCGGAGGGATATGGGCCAGCAGGAAGCGCTGTCGGCCGCCGCTCGCCAAGGCCGGACGACCGCCGCTGAAAACCAGGTGAGAGCGTCTCCCACGCGGCCGGGTCACGGCTCGGACCCCCTTCCCCCGTACCCCAGCCACCCAACCACAACGCTTCCGCACCGGGAGAGGGAAACCGTGCCGGCCCCATTCAGACCCAGGGCTGCTCCCTGTTTCCCCTTCCGTACCACCGTCAATTGCCCTCTTCCTCCCGCACTGCGCGTGCGACTCCCCAGTCCCCCATGGCCTGTCTGCTGGTCGTTCAGGTGTGTGATTTACGACGTGCCAGAGCCGGCTGACGAGACGGCGGCCGTCCGACAGACCCCCTGGTGACGTCACCAGGGGTGTCAGTCAGCTGACGGACAGGTGAGCCTCTGCCGCCAGACGCGATGTCTTCATGACGGGCGCCGTTGGCACGGGCCTGGCGTTCGTGTCCCGTGAGTGGGGTTATTTAGGAGAGTGCCGGCCGGTGGAAGTGGGTCGTCTCTCTCGTAGTTTAGCGCGCTGGCGGAATCTTCCTGTGTTGTCAGAGTATCCCAGCCCGCGTCGGGCCGGGGAGGTGGAGCGATTCATGTGAAATGAGCTCCGAAGTTAAATCCCACGAGTTTGTCTGGTGCGGTCAGTATTGTGCTTCTGTCTGCCCGGGCTTCGGTGCTATGTCCCCGCACTGAGCTGTGCCATGACGGGAATTGGTAAATTGTTGGCCTTGATTGAACAATGCACGATTTTTAAAGAGAAATGTGTAGATCATCGATTCGATTCCAATCAGTAGCGGCGGAACACTTTCAATTAAAAGGGGGCACTGCCGACTTTTGATCCCATTCTTTCCATGCAACGCCCATGGGGGGCTAATGTTAAAATGCCAAAATCAAAGGGGGGCACGGTGCCCCGGTGCCCTCCCCGTTCCGCCGCCTATGGTTCCAATGACTACAAAATTGCTGAAAGTTTGTTTGTGCGTTTTTTCATAATTTATATTAGGAGGTTGTTTAGCATGGTCACTACAAAACAGATGACTTAATTCAATTTTTGCTTGTAACTCGAACATTTACTGAAAGCGTCGAAAGCAAATTTATTGCAGGGATACGAAAATCTCCTGGATAAAGACAAACATTAAGATTACGGTGCCAAAAAATAAATATTGCTGTCATTTTGATTTCCCTCAGCATATAGGCATGCATGGGTGTAGGAGCGCCAAAAATATTGGTGAAGGATGTCACCTGAACCCTCGGAGAAGTCACCTAAACCTTCGGAGAAGGTGTAGGACCTTACCGCAGTGGAGGGGGGGGGGGGGAATTTCGCCAACTCCTGTTTTTTTCTCGCAAATGTCTCACGCCATTATCATCTAATTAACGCCAACTTTTCAGTACATGCCTAAAATTGAATTTTTAGGTATCCAAGCATACCTTTGGATACCTACCAAAGGTATCCACTATCAAAGCATACCTTTGGAACCTAGAGGTATGCTCCACTGCTCTTTTTTCGTGACCAGTCTTACAACTTTCCCACGAGGAAAAACAAGCCAATATATGTATTTTGATATTCACGGCATTTACTGAGACACATTTACACGTTTACTAACCTCAATACAGTTTTCGACTTTACCTATCATTACGGAGCGAGCGAAGCGAGCGTAGTCTTTCCTTAGATTAACGGAAATTTCTGAGTATGAGCGGCCGGCCGTGGTCACGATTCTGCGACGCTTATATCTCAGCAACCACTTGACCGATTTACACGCTGTAATTTTTGTAGGGTAGCTTCATTCCTTCTACCAAGTATTGGACTATTCCCGATGCATGTGGGTGACCCCTTATGCACGTGCCACGTGCAAAACGAAGAGGTGTCACTTTTGTAATTGTTGCAATATCTCGGTAACTACTTGGCCGATTGCGCTGAAAGTTGGCATGTACAGGGTGTCCCATAATTACCCGGACATTGTTAATTAACGTATAAAATAAGGCAAACATGATGGCGCTTTTTCTTTTTACCGTCCTATATAGTCAACTAGGGTGGCTGTGAAATAGCACATGCAATAGATACGCTTGTTACAAGATCAGCCGACAATGATGGAAAATGCCAGCCATTGCTGGTCTCAGTTGTTTTACGGGTCTCCCGAAACTGGGTGTAGGCCTGTTTTCTTTGACCTCTTGCCGGAGGATAATACGATCATATAAGATAAACTTGACATCAAAGTGTTCCCAGACCATAAGGTATTATCCCCCAAAACAAAAATTTCTGCCTACGCCACTTTTGCTGCGTTTTTTACATCTGGAGTGGAGAAGCTCCATGTCTGAACATCGCGCAACCTTTGGCTTCCAACAGATGGCCATTTGGTTCACGGCATCCAGTTTTCGCACTGGTAGAATATTACCGCAGTAGTACCCTGTGCTAACGGTTGTCTTTGGGCCATCATATCAAGCCCAATGAGTGCACGGTGGCTCAAAATGTCTCACAATTTGATTTTCGACGGGTGCCTGGCCGTCTCTGCTGTTGGGGCGTTGTAGCCATCTGACGTTCACACAAGCCTTTTTCGGGCAGTTCAAATGACATAATACCTTCGTTAGACCACAAAGTGTGCCTCAATATACTGTTTTGTTATATATGTTATGTTTTTGGGATGAATTATAGTGAATTGCGCTGCTTTCCCCGTAGTTTTCGCATATTTTTCTGGCGAAGGACCCCAAATTCCAAAATTTTGTCGAAAATAGTGGTGCAAAGTAGACTGATGTTTTGTAGATGATCCTGATCTATTGTTTAGCTAGTTTTTAGCTAGATCGGTGATGTTTGTTGTCTATGACAAGCAACCCCTTGTTTGACAACTGGTGTATGGCCCTTTATGGCCGAGCCCAAGCTTGTCAATCAGGTTTATCTCTTGCTCTCTCTGGCTTCGTTAGCTGATACCTATAATTGTGCTTTGCTCAATCCTAACTGCTTGCAGATGAGCTGCTGAAGCTCTCCAGCAAAAACCATGCCGAAAGTCCGTTTACAAAGTTGAGAACGGGAGTTGATTCACCATGGATGCCTATTAGTGGCTTAAGCTGAAAACGGAAAAGGACTTCTCTTACTTGACTCTGGATAATAATTGATTCGAGTCGTTACCGGCCACCAAAAGCACACAGTCCCCAATCTCGATAGCTAAGGGATATCTGATAAAAGTATGATGCTTGTATATCATTAGAAGCGAGCGCAGTCGTACTTTTAGCCAGAAAATAAATGTCCGGGTAATTCTGGGACACCCTGTAGGTAGGCACCCACTAGGCAATGCATATCCATGTGCCAGAGTTGGGGTGCTGCTGCACGTGCGCACGTGCAGGGGTCGATTCCAGATCTCGAGAATGGCTGGACCGATGGCGCTCAAATTTGGTACACAGTTAGGGACCGGTTAGTAGGGTGCCGTGCAAAAGTCAGTTGGGACCCATTTTGCACGTGCGCACGTGCAGGATGCCGCTTCCAGATCTCGAGAACGACTGGGCCGATTGTGCTCAAATTTGGCACATCGCTAGAGACCGGTTAGTAGGGTGCCGTGCACAAGTCAGCTGGAGGTACCCCGTCGAAATTTCGCACGTGCAAAGCTCACCCTCTCGCTCGCTCCGTTAGTCGCCCCAAAAGGCGTTATACTGGTTTATTAAATGGCGTGAATTGTGAAGAAGGTGGGCATAACACTTCATAACTGAAAGGATGGAGTAATTGGGTACCTGTTGCCGTTTTAGCCTTTTTGTTCATCCCATTCGGCATTGCTTTTCTTTTTTAACATTAGATCGACCGTCGAACCCAGTCGTTCTAGCATTGGTGAAGACCCTCACCTGCATTGCTCAAGATTGGTGAAGGATCCTTCACCAATCTAAAACTTTGGTGAAAGGTATCCTTCACCAAAGAGATACGTTGCTACACCTATGTAGGCATGTCAGTGAAGATTCTTGACTCTTGTCGTTTTCTTTTTTTTCGATAACATGGAAATATTAACCTACATAGTTTTTAAAAGGTAATAGACGGTAACCCTTTATCCAACGGCGATAAAATACCGCTAAACCTAATGTAATACATAATTGAGATTTTTGCTTAGTGGCCTTGATCACGTAAGATTACATAGTGTTTCGCGTGATCATAAATGACATCTACTTGAATAGGTAATAATAAGCAAATACGTAGCTGAAGCGAATGACTCACAAAAACTCGATTCGCCTTTTCCTAGTTTAAGTATCTAGTTTGAACGGTAAGTGGGTATCAATCTACTTACCTACTGTTTTCATAAAATGTTTGCGAAACGCCTCTATCGGCAAAGGGCAAGCGGAAATTTCAGGTTTCTGTTAAACATTGTACATTCGTGTATTTTATCATTTTTAGACCTCTGATTATTTGCATAGAATTTATGAATTAAGAATTACCTATATAGAATTTGCACGTATAATTACTATGCATTTCAGACCCTATGAGACCCTGTTTTTTGGCGATAATTTATTTAATATTTATCCAATCGGCTTCAAATTTTCGCAAAGCACATTTCAGCTCAAGCGCCAATTTTTGTCAATATGGTCGTTTAACAAAATATCAAAATTTAGGGTACTTGTCGTTGCCTCGTAATGTTAAAATCAGCTCCGTAAATCCGTCAGTGGAGTAGAGGCTATCCGTGCGTAGGTGTGACGTCACAAACACGTGACCATTAAGCTCCGCCCTTCCGGCGGACGGGGCGGTGACCTTGGCCGGTCAGTCGGCTGCGTAGTGCGGGCGAGGCAGTAGCTGCCGCACCGGGGTGGATCGCATGGAACGTAGCTGCCGTGCAGTTGCCGTTGCAGCCGTAACCTAACCGAATGAGCAAAAATAGCACTCATAAGTAACGCAC